TTTTTTAAGAAATGTACTCCTTAGTCTCAATAAAATGAACTTCTTCCCTCATAGTCTGCTAATTAAATAATATAGTATTCTACATATTCATCAGGGAAATTAAGATTTGATTCTGCTTTGCTACATCACAGCATGGCATGATTTAGTGCTACAGAAAGTCACAAGCAGGCTATCTCTGATACTAAATAAATACTAATCAATAATACCATCTTTCTGAAAAGAAAAAGAACATGAAAACATGTCCCTCTTTACCATGAAGATTCAGTTCATTACAGAATCATTGAAAAGTAACTGGACATGGGCTTAATTATTCACTGTAGAGCAAAGGAGATCTGTTGTTGAGGGCTCTATGCCAAAAATCACCACTTTTGGTGCGATAATGTCTTAATAATCCAGAAAAACACTGTGTGCAAACCATATGTGGCTAAACTCAATTTTAATTGGCTGGAGCACAAGAACAATGTTCCCTTGTTTTGAAAATTGTACTTTTTAGCATCTTTTTTAACCCAGATCTTAATAATCAGTGTGAATCTCCATAAACATTATTACTTTGTACATGATTATGATTTATTAATTCCAAGGAGTTCTTGCCTACATGAATCTTCCCGTTTATCCACTTTGGGGAGGCACCGCAAGCATTCGGACGCTAACATGCTCAAAACTTTTGTTCTGCAAGCATTGTACAGAAGGCACACTGAGGCAGTCATCACTGTTAAAAACTATGGTCCACAAAATCCTCTATCCTCTTAACTGGGAAAGCAAAGACCAGTGGTGTTAAAGAAATTTTTCTTGACTGTTTAATTGTTACTAAACATCTAACTACATAAAAACAATGATTAATATTCATTGAAAATAGGCGCAAAGTGCAACAGCCAGGTACGCATGCATGGTGGGGGGCTGGAGGGGTTTAACAAAGGAAGCAAGGCCCAGCAGCAAGCGGGGGAAGCCCGGGGACACTGACGGACACAAGAGACAGCATTACAGTACCTGACAGCCTGTGAGAGCAAGAGGAGTGAGAGAGACCAGGTAAGAGAGCGCTCACGGTGTGAAGGAGGAGCGGGACGCTTTTAGTGGCAGGCAAAGCCTCAGAAAGGTGGACACAGTTGCTGATAGACTGGCTTCGCTTGGCTTCCAGGAGAGATAAAGTAACATTTATGTCAGAAGCACATCAGGATCTTTCACTTTTTTTTATGGCTATTTTTCTGGTCTTCCTTTCGATATTTAAAGGAGGTCATTTTATACTTTAAAAGAAGTCAGTACAAAGCAGAGTATTTAACCATAGTCTCTAAATACAGCCAACCTTCAGTCATTCTCATGACATGGGAGAATAGACAATTCACAAATAATCTTATTTTAGAATGCTTTACAGGTTTAGCTTTCCTTTTTTCCTGCTGTGTATCAGACCCACATTTGGGTTGTTTATTTGAGAGGACATTATAATCACTTTTCCCTTCCTAGAGGACACACATATGAAAAGACCATGGGGAGGGAGGGAAAAATCTAGCCTAAGATTAAAATTGCTCTACAAATAATAAATAATTCAAAAGTTGGTTTACTGAGAGCTGACTGTATTCAAAAGCAAATCATTTAGTAAATTAAATGTCCTAAAACCTCAGAAACACATAAAAGTCAAGTTGAACACCAAAAGATTTGGTATTTGGAAAAAAAGGCAAAAATCTCCATGAAACCCATCCTTCCATAACACATTTTGTGCTTATTAAAATCCATAATTTCTTAGTATGAACTTTATGATGCTCTTAAGTTTTCTTTTTTTTAATAATATTTTATTTATTTACTTGAGAGAGAGAAATGAGAGAGAGAGGGAGAGCATAAGATGGGGGAGGGTCAAAGGGAGAAGCAGACTCCCTGCTCGATCGGGGGACTCAGGATCATGACCTGAGCCAAAGGCAGTCGCTTAACCTACTGAGCCACCCAGGTGCCCTGCTTTTAAGTTTTCAAAAGACTTCTAGTGAAATGACCATTTGAGCAAATGGATAAACACAGGAAGAGAATACACCTCATATATATGAAACTACCATCAGTAAGATCACTTTTATCCTTAAAACTAGGTTAAAGGTTTACTTGCTGTTCTATTACTTTTATGTGATTTTATTTCACATTATTGAAATAGAAATACAAATGAGAATGATACATTTGCAAAGAGTGAAACAAACTTTTCACTTCCTTGTGTCTCCCTGGGCCCCAACCTCTGGCTGTCAAATTCCTAGTTCTAACTCCCACATCTAAAGTAATTACAGTACACTTCACAAATGGGTAAGATAATATTTAAGGGAAAATGACTTCCATGCAAATGTCAAACTGACTTACTTCAAATTCCCTAAAAGATGTGTTCATCTCTCAATATCCTTTTATAAATGAAATGAGTGTGCATTTTCCCAAAACTGATCACTAGTTATTTTAGAAATAAAACTTAGAATAATTTTTTTGTGTGGAAATTGACTTGCTTTAATCACTCATTTTAGACATCTAAAATTTTAGCATCATTCACACTCAGGAACAAAGTTTTCCTTTATAATTCTTTAAGACTCTCCTGCTAGTTCCTTTTAAGTTGCAAAGTAGTTGATTCTCTGTTAAATTAATTGTCATTTCCCTACTCTGCAATTGATTATTTTATTATTTCCATCTTACCACCATCACTGACATTTTCTTAATCTAAGTAGTCTGTAAGGCAAATTATAATATAATAATCTTAAATTATTCTTGTATTGAGATTAGGGAAAAAAAAAAGTCACTTTCAAATGAGTCTTCTATAATAAGCACTTTAATGCTAAATAAAAGTGGCAAAAACTAACTTCCTGAGCTGCAGTTCTCTCATTAAAAGGTGGCCTCCACAGAAATCAAAATCTACCATGAAATTATTCTAGGCCTTTTTTAAAAGATGGAAAGGAGAATTATTACACAATGTAAAAAGCACAGAACTGAGTAAAACCAGTTTATTTATATAGTGACTATTAGTCTATATAAATTAATTTTATAAAACAGCATGATATAATAAAATCTTCAGAGACTGTTGTTTTCACAGGCAACTAAAAAAGATAAATGTGTAAAATAAAATAGGAAATACATGGGGTGCTGGTGGAGCATGTGACTCTTGATCTCAGGGTTGTGGGTTCGAGCCCCACCTTGGGTGTGGAGATTACTAAGAAATAAAATCTTAAAAAAAAAAAAAGGAAATACATATGTGTGTACAAAATACATAAAGGTAATAGACCCATCCAACTCAATAGCTCTTATCCCATTATCTTTTAAAGGTTATGGTTCCAGGCGTTTTTAATTTAATTAATCCTAAAAAGGCCAGGTTTATGACTTTAAAGTTACATAGTCTAAACACCTTTAACGTGATTTTGTAAAAGTTCTTATTGCTGCAATACCATGGCTTTGACACCTGAGAACACTGATGAACAGAAGCTCACTGGCATTAAATGCACCGAGGATTATCGAGAACAATACTGGTGCCACTATCGTATTTGCTGGTCTGAAACACCTGCTGAAAAACTAAAATACAATCTCTTCTATGGCTGTGTTTTGGCCAAGTAGGGGAATAAGGAGCATGCAATATACAATACTTTGCTGCTCATTAAAATGTGAAAGTAGAGTTTTACACAGTGTTTTGAATGATCACTTTTATTATCATTACAATTCTAGGGCCCTGAGGGAGTCTGGGCAGCTGAGGCATGATGCCACTTTGTCACAAACTTCTGCTCTGATCCAAAGATGGAAGAAAGGAATTTTTAGGAGTTGGAACAAGAATGGAAATCATTGAGTAAGCCTTCCCCAAAGTTGCCTGTTATTAGGAACTGCGTCTCTCCTCAGGGGAGAGATGAAGGAAAGCAGGAGAAGCAGAACAAGAGGTGAATGCAAATAAGGTGATAATTATCAACAAATGCTATGGCAAAGAGCATTAGACAATTAGGGTTAAGGTATATTTTCATAAAGACTCCAACAGGATTCTAAGCCCTCTGTACGAAGCCTTTACTAAGCACTGTAAGATACGCTGAGTGTAAATGACTCTGGTTTATGACCAGAGGATATTGTGACTTTCTGCAGTCAACATGCTGAATATCGATTATGACAGCATGGTATTACTGATGTGAAAAACTACAGGAAACTCAGATAAATTTGTTTTAAATGTAGTTACAGCCTCAAAGTCACTGGGGGGACGGGGCTTTATTTGTTCTTATTAAATACTGGATATAAGCTTACTTTTTAAAGATTTATCTTTTAGTTTTAAAGTGAAATGTAGCAAACCAGTCCAAAAAACAGGGTTCTTGGTCAAGTTCTTGTTTGTTCTAACAGGCTAGAAGAACAACAGCTCCAGGTACGTAAAGCTCCCATTTCTTAAAAGAAGCAAAACACTTAAATATCCCCCTCCAGTCCTGCATACTAAGTGCATTCTCTTTTTCTTTGTTGGAACAGTGCCACACTAAGATTTACGCTGCTCAACAACAATAGTAGTGCAACTGTGTGATTACTGAGAATCTGTTTTCTTCAGGGTTCAAACAAAATATTTATTTTCTCTCTTTTGCACAGATATCTCACTCAATATTAACATCTCAAGGTCTTTTTCACAATGAAAGATTCAGAAATAAGTATCAGAAACAGATTTGAAGAGTAACCAGAACAGACAACTAAAAGATATGGCCTTTAATAAAAGGCCATGTATTTGAGTTCTGAGTGGAATTTTAAAACTTTTAAAACATTTTATTCCTATAAATCCATTTCAGATAGCAACTAGACCTTAGAGAAATATTTATTTTATTTTTTTTTTTTTAAAGATTTTATTTATTTGAGAGAGAGAGAATGAGAGAGAGCACGAGAGGGAGGAGGGTCAGAGGGAGAAGCAGACTCCCCGCTGAGCCGGGAGCCCGATGTAGGACTCGATCCCGGGACTCCAGGATCATGACCTGAGCCGAAGGCAGTCGCTTAACCAACTGAGCCACCCAGGCGCCCCTTAGAGAAATATTTAAATAAACGTTTACCTGTTGCTTTCTGGCGAACGATATTTCTTGCTTTCTCAACTCCTGGTGCCCCAGATGTGGTGGCACTCCTAGATCGCATTGGCTCGGTCACATCTGGGTGGCTCCGCCAGCTGAGAGAAAAGGATCTCCCCACAGTGGTTCCTTTCTGAGAATCTAGAACACAGCCTGATAAAAGATAAGGAAAGAAAAATAATATAAAGGCTGAATTCATTATCATTCATTCCACAGTTTGTGTTGCTCAGCAAATTTCATACTACACTTGATCTTAGCCAAAAGGCCGAGAAGCGATCAGCAAATTTCATAAAGACAACTGTATATAATCAGCAACTTCTCTTGTTGCAAAATTAGGTACCACTTCTCTGCTTTCCTCTCATTGAGCTCTGGTTAAATATTTCAAACGAGTGGTCAAGGATCCAAAAGAAATACAGGAGAAAAGAGAATTAGACAGAGATTTCTGCACAGGTAATGTGCTGGTGGCTGCCCCTTGTGGATCATTTTCACACCCAAGTTCCTGAGAGTGTACTTTGTTTCCACAAATCCAGTGCTTAGAAGGCAAGTATTTCCATAATGAATATTTAATTCATTTTTAGAATAAAGCAATATAATAGATAAATCAGAAATATTTGCCATAATCATTAATTGAATAATTAAATTCATTCTTTATCATTCCATAGTGTTTTTCAAATTGTTTACCTTCCTATAAATAAATACAGCCACTCCCAGACTGCAGCAAAGATATTAGAAGAGTCAGTCACATTAATTACATGTCTGTATGGTTAAATAATCACCAGAGTTGATTCACACCTCCCCACATCCACATCCTCTGTCCACAATGATCCTGGGCTTCATCACATGACTTACTTCGGTAGCAAAACCGAGCAAGCAGAGATATGAAATGCACTTGAAAATCTGGGCTTGCCCTGTTGCTGCTCCTGGAACCCTAAGTCCTCACAAAAAAAACCTGTGCTGGCCTGCTGGGTGATGAAAGGTTTATGGCCAAGTCCCCCTACCACTGCCCCAGCTGAAAGCTGGCCAACTCTAGAGCTGTCTAGCTGATTATTTGACAGCCTAGTTGACTGCAAACACAGGAGTGAATCCAGCAGAAGAACTGCCCAACTGTGTCCAAACCAAATTGCAACTCATAAAATCATGATCTAAACAACTGGCTGTTACTTTAATCCACTATGTTTTGGGGTGATCTGTCACACAGGAAAAGCTGATACAGTCTATAATAAGGCTATTGTTGAGGCTGTAGTCTACCCACAGCAAGCAATGTATACCTTATGAATCTTTGGAGGAGAAACTATGCCCAGATTTTCGGACCAGGAAAAGCTATGTATCACCTAAGCTGCGGATTTTCCCCTTTTGTAATCTGTGATCCTCTGCTGTAACCCTGTGAAGATCAGAGTCAAACCTAAGCTTGCCCCGCTCCGTCCACCCCAGCAAGCATAGGAGGCTCTCCGGCATGCATTCTGGCATTTTAAAAACTCCTGCAACTCCACCCCCTTTAATTTTGCCCCAGTGTCCTTATGCATTTTATCTATTTTATTTTTATTTTTTTAAATTTTTTTAAAGATTTTATTTATTTATTCATGAGAGACAGAGAGAGAGAGAGAGAGGCAGAGGGAGAAGCAGGCTCCCAAGGAGCAGGGAGCCTGATGCGAGACTCGATCCCAGGACCCTGGGATCATGACCTGAGCCGAAGGCAGACGCTTAACCATCTGAGCCACCCAGGCGCCCTGTTTTTTAATTTTTTTTAAAAGATTTTATTTATTTACTTGAGAGAGAGAGAATGAGAAAGAGAACACAAGTGGGGGTAGGGTAAGAGGGAGAAGCAGATTCCCTGCCGAGCAGGGAGCCCTATGCAGGACTCAATCCCAGGACTCCAGGATCATGACCCGAGCCGAAGGCAGTCGCTTAACCAACTGAGCCACCCAGGCGCCCCTATCTATTGTATTATAGGTACTTCTATGAACTGCCTAAAAATCTTTACATAATAAATTGGAGTACAAGTGAATTAATCCAAGGACTGTATCACAGCCTTAAAACAGTAAGGGAGACAAATTGTTGTCCCCAATAGAAACCACCACTAATGTTTTCCACCTTGATCTGACTCTAGGTCTCAAAACAATTTTTACCCAGAAACACAAAAAAGGTCAAAACGACTCCTATCTGAAACATTCAGAATTTTTCCACCTATCTTAAGCAGGCGGTGGAATACGTCTTTCTAGTGTGGTGCCTGGAGCTAGACTTGCCTAGCTTTGATTTCTGGCTTTCCCACTTCTTAGCTATGTACCTTGAATGAGTCCGTCAGCACAGACTCTGTACTTCAGTTTCTCTATGATACTGGGATGATAACTCAGACGTTAGAGGGTCAAGAGAGAGAATACATACAAGCATGAGCTATTATTATTATTGTTGCTACTACTGCTACTCCCCTTCATCTTCCTTCTTCATTCACAGCTCCTTCATAAATTCATCATCCTCATTAAGAGGACAGAGTGCTATGAAACACAGTCCAACACCACCATTAAAAAGACACCACCTAGGGGCGCCTGGGTGGCTCAGTCGTTAAGCGTCTGCCTTCGGCTCAGGTCATGATCCCAGGGTCCTGGGATCAAGCCACGCATTGGGATCCCTGCTGAGCGGGAAGCCTGCTTCTCCCTCTCCCACATCCCCTGCTTGTGGTCCTGCTCTTGCTATCTCTCTCTCTGCCAAATAAATAAATCAAATCTTAAAAAAAAAAAAAAAGACACCACCTATATGGCTGGTTCCATTTTTTATGAAATTCCACGCATTAATTGCCTAAATGTATAGACACACACTCCTCCTCAATCTCAGATATCTGGTGTTACTCTGTAAGAGTGGAGGTACCTTTGCCTCGCTGCTTCTTTTCCTTTTGTTCACTTAATTTGTCCAGAGGTAGGTTTGTCATCTCAACTCCATAAACCGTTCTTGCGAGCACTGCTGTCAAGGAGTCCATGATGTTGGCCCACTCGTTTATGAGTTCTTCCCATTCCGTGAGGGAGGACAGCACGCCAAGGAAGTCATCCCAGAGCTCTCGGGAAATGTACACACAGAGGTTTGCTCGGATCCACGCCACCATGAGCGTCTAGAACCAACCAACCAAGAGAATTGAATCACCCTCATTTGGAATAAGAATGCTTTTTAACAAAATATTTTAAATTACTATGAATAAAATGAACTTTAAAATAAAAAGCACTTGATCTTGTTTTTCTTTTAGTTTCTCAAAATTCATTTGATCAACTGTAACCAGGATCTGAGCTACAGAGAAATCAGTTATCACCGTGAACAAAGCTACTGATTCAAAATCCCTCTAGTGTCTGTGGCTAGTGCTGGCTGTAACTGGGGAGAAGACAAAGCTCTCAGTACAACTGTTCTACTTCTTGAGATAGCTCTCTCTCTCTCACTCTCTACAGTGGCTGCTTCTAGCCACCTCTCCAGTCCCACCAACTCCTCCCTGCTTTTTAGTAGATGAACTCACAGCAGACTTCAGAGAAAACAGAACTCATTAAGCAAGAATGCCCTCAACCTTTACCCACAAGGCACAAGTGTTTGCCCAGCCTCTCCTCCATCTGCAGGCTGTAAGTGAAGAGGGGGGTTCCCACTCTTCTATGCTTGTTACCATCTCTGCTCTGAACCTCCTTCTTGGTCTTTCTGTTTCCAGTAACCCTGCCTCTCCTTCTTCAGTCTGTCCTACTTCGCCAGCAACTCCCCGTCAGTATTTAAACATGTTCCCAATCTACCTCATCTTAAAAACAAAAAACAAACAAAAAAGTTCCCTTGAGACCAGATACCCCCTCTAGCTAGAACTTTTAAAGCCAAATTTCTTGAAAGAATGTTCCACATTCACTGCATGTACACCTCCTCATTTCCCAGTCAACTGACTGCTCTGGCTTTCTCCCCTCCTGTGCCGGGGTTCTGGTCTCCATTCTCACGGCTCCAGTTAACACCTGTATACTGTTGACTTCTGAATCTCCATGTTCAGCCCAGACCTCTCTGGTTTCCTGAACTTTTCTATCTGCATACTAGAGAGCTCTACTTGCATGTTCTGCAGGCACCTGTTAATATAGCGTAAGAGTAAAAAGAATTCAATGCTTCCACTGAGATTCTTCCAGTTCCTCGACTTGGTGTCTCCTGCTCCTGGCCTTGGCATGTAGTCTTCCTTCCTCTCTTCCCTTCTTTTTTGCCTCTTTAACTCCCATTCCTCAGGGCACAATGTGGATATGACTTCCTCCAAGGTGTGCCTGACTGCCACTCCACCCAGCCTTCAGTAAGTACCTCCATACCCACAGTTGTCTGCATTTCCCTATCAGAGCACTTTCCTTAAGAGTCTACTTCTCTGTGTCCCTCCTCTAACCTTATGGTCCACGGCACTACAAATGGTCACAGGGGCAAACCTACCAGACAACTATGCACATATTTTGCGTATTCCCTTATCTTGAAATGGCCGAGTTCCTTACCTCTGCCAAAATGGTCCACATCCTTTAAAATTCAAATCAAAATATACCTGCCTTGAAAGAAGTGCCAAGTCCTTCTCAGGTGAGCCCCAAAGGCTTTCCTAATCTTACTAGAGGGAATAGTTATATCCAAAGTCTGTGTAACTTCCCTGATCTGTTGTCAGAACTAAATGTGCTCCTTAAGGTGCCAACCTGCAAATATTTCTGCCCATCCCAGATGCAAATAGACTCCCACAGTCGATGGAAGTTGTCCTATGCATGCGATAGGGGCAAACTGGCTTTTTAATTACAAGAGAAATTTTTCTTTAACATACACATAGGAAAACTTTGAGAAATAAAAAACAGTCTATAATCAGGCAGGTCTGTTCCAACCACTTGAAAAATCATATTTAAAATGACTCTTACACAATGTACCTGTTCTCTATGTTTCAATTCACATTTACCACACTTTTTAAAAGGATAAAAATGTGAAAGTTGAGCTAAAATCATTAAATATGTTGAAAACAAGGTTTTAAATATTCATAATGAAAATGACTCTAAGATGAATGAATGTAAAGGAACAATGCAAAAGAAAAAGCTAAAATAATTTTATCATTTATTCTTACTAAGACCTTATGAAATATATTCATTATGACTAAAATGCCATCTTCTGTTTATTTCATTTTACACTCCTGTTTTCAAAATGAGTTTGAGGGTATTACCATAAAGTGCATATACACAATAAAATTAATAAAGAGTAGATCAAAGAGAATCTCAGCAGAGTAAGGGGAGAAAGGACAGACTGGTAATGCTACCAGCACTCAGCCTCACATCTGGTTACAGCACTAGCTTCAGGTTAAAAGGAGAGTTTTCGTGTGGTAGAAGATGCCCTGTGCTGGGAATCTTGCATTGGCTTCACTTTATTGACTAATTATAAAACAAGGACAGAACACAAACTTCTTGCAGCTTATTAAATTCATCTTATTGGGGAAGGAGCAAGATGGCAGAGGAGTAGGAGACCTAAAAATTTCGTCTGGTCGCAGGAATTCAGCTAGATAGGGATTAAACCATTCTGAACAACTACAAACTCAACAGGAGATCGAAGAAAAGAATAGCAACAACTCTCTGAACAGAAAAGCAACCACTTTCTGGAAGGTAGGACGTGTGGAGAAGTGAATCTGAGGCGATATTTGGGAGGATAGATGGCGGGGGAGGGGGCGTCCATCAGCCGCTTCTGGCAACTGATAGAGCGGCGGAAAACAAAATTGGAACTTTTAGAAGTCGGCTCCACTGAGGGACGTCGCTCCAGTGGCTAAGCAGGGGGTGGAACCCTAGTGGGACAGTGTGGTCTCAGGACCCTCGGGGTCACAGAAAGACTGGGGGTGCCTGAGTGCAGCAGAGCTCCCAGGTATCACAGCGGGGAAGCCGGCTGCAAAGAGTGAGCGGAGTAGTGGGCTCTCAGCTCGGGGTTGCCATAAACCATGACCTGCGGCACAGTCGGGCCACTGCTCTTCCAGCAGGGACCCAACAAGCGGCAGATCCGAGGAGACTCCCCTTCCTCCCCCGGGAGGAGCGGCATGGGAGCGCACCGCAGGGATCTGCTCGGTTTGGAGACTCCACACAGGGTCGAGAGCCAGAGATAGAAACGCTCGCGTCACAGGCTGGCTGAGCATGGAGTGCGGCCGGAGACCAGGGAGACGGGAGTGATTGACTGCTTTTCTCTGGGGGGCCCCTAAGTTCTCAGCCCCTTGGGGCAAAGATTGGGAGGCCGCCATTTTCACTCTCCTCCTCCAAAGCTGTACGGAAAGCTTGCAGGGAACAAAAGCTCCCATGAGCAAACCCGAGCAGATTACTTAGCCCGCCCCGGCAAGGGCGGGGCAGTTCCGCTTCCAGCAAAGACATTTGGGAACCAAGGCAACAGGCCCCTGCCCCAGAAGATCATCAAGAACACCCAGCCAAGACCAAGTTTACCGATCAATGAGAACGGGAGAACGCCAGCTCTAGAGGAAGACTGCACAAAGAATTCATGGCCTTTTTCCCATGATTCTCTACTCTTTCAAAGTTAATTTTTTTTAATTTTTCTTTTTCCCTTTTTCAACCAACATCTTAAAAACCCTTTTTTAAAAAATCTTTTATTTTTAATTTTTAGAGTCATATTATATCAATTCATAGTAGTTAACATTATTTTTGGCATATATATATAAGTTGTTCTCTCTTTAAAATTTTGGGATACAGTTTCTTCTAACAGACCAAAATATACCCTAAATCTCTAGTATATGGCTTTGTTCTAGTCTC